AAAATGGGAAGAGCTTCGGAAGGAAGAAGAAGAAGCCACATATCTCAGCATAATGGTGGGGGGCTATTTAGAAGACAGAGTTTTGTTGTATAAAACCTCTGAAGGACCACGACACTTGATGATCACGTCAGGAGCTGCGCAGGGATCAATCCTCGGCCCAGACCTCTGGAACGTCAGTTACGACGGCATATTAAGCCTCGATATGCCCGACGATACTTATCTAGTTGGTTACGCACACGAAATCGCCGCGATAACCACTGCGAGGGACACCGACGATGCGTGCAGGAAGTTAAACCAGGTGATGATCAGAGAACAAATGTGGCTTGATGCGAAAGTCTCAAACTTGCCATTGAAAAAACTGAGCTGGTACTGCTAACAAAGAAGCATATTCCGACTATAAAAGACATGAGGACAACAACAGAAACATTAAGGACACAAAAGGTTGTCAACTACTTGGGGGTAAGAATAGACTCCAGGCTTACCTACTGGGCACAAATTCAACACGCTGCGAAAAAAGCGTTCATAATAACTAGTCAATTGAGCAGGCTGATTTCTTATATCGGAGGACCGAGACAGAAAAAACGGAAACTTTTGATGTCGACAACATTAAATGTCTTGCTCTACGGAGCAAAAATATGGGCAGACACACTAAAGAAAAATAATCGACGCAAATCCCCCGAAAAAGTGTATCGCACAGCTGCTCTAAGGGTAGCATCGGCATATGATACAGTCTCGGGCGAAGCTGTTTATGTAATAAGCGGAAACATACCCATCGACTTATAAGCATTTGAACGAAAAAAAATGTGGATGTTGAGAAAACAAGGAACTGATGCTGCCGCTACCAAAGAGGAAATAAAGAACGACACCTTGGAAGAATGGCAAGCTCGCTGGGAGCAAGGACGCCACGGCAGATGGACTGTTTAATCCGAAACATAAAAGAATGGTCTAACAGGAAACATGGTGAGGTGGACTTTTACACTACTCAGATGCTCTCCGGGCATGGAAATTTTAGGAAATATCTATATAAAATGGGAAAAGTCGAAGAGCCGTCCTGTATATACGACGCGATCGAGGACGACGCTGAACACACATTTTTGCAAATGCTGGCAACCGCAACGAAATAAGCTCACTTTGGTCGGCCCCCTGAATGCGGAAAACATCATACCTGTCATGCTTCAAAACGAGGAAACCTGGAAGAACGTGAAAAATTATATAGAAAACGTACTACGGATTAAAAAACGCGACCTTGACGCAGGTAATGACATGTAAGTCTTAAGACGAGAAATATGGAACGCCACCCTGAAGTAATGCGAAAGCGGTTCCAGTGTGCGCGACGGTTCCCTAGAGGAGACCTTTTAGTGACCTGCAAGTGGCACATACCATTGCTGTGACGACACAATAACGATGCGGAAGGCATTTTGCTCAACCTTCCCCGAAAAAAAAAACCAAAAAAAAAAACATGTTGCAAGAGTATAAAAATAGATGTAAGTAAAACGAGGAGTTTAAGGAGCGTTTCAATTAATAAAGAACATAAAAACATAATATATTTGTATTTAATATTGACTGTGGAGAAGTCGGCAGATCTTCGTCTGAAGATAAAGAGAATGTTCTAATTACAAAAAGTAAAATATAGGAATTTTGAAATATTTATGAATATTAAAGGTAAAGCATAACTAGCGTATGAGTACTTTTGTCAAATGTGTAGAATACACATGTTCTTATGCAATGATTTTTTAGTGATTGTATTGTCTGAGAGTTGCGCCAATAACAAAGTTAGTGGCGTTAGCAATTAATTAAAATTTTTTAGTAAAAAAAAGCCATCTTAAAATAGGGGGTATTTTTTTACTCTCGCAACAATTTCAATAAAAGTTATTGTTTGAGAGTTACTTGTCGAATTTGTCCATTATCGAACATGGAAGTTCTTCATTTTCCAAAATTCCGTAACTAAACTATAAAGAAAGATAAAAAAACTCTAATTAGGTACAGTGTATAGTGGTAGGGCAAGGCACTTGTGGTATACATTTTTTTTAAAAGTGGGCGTAAACCCGTCCTCATATAAGTATAATGTACATATGTATGTATCTCACGAATCACTAAACCCATATTAACCAAATTTAATCAGGACACATATTTGCGGCAGTTCCTCTGACAGTGTGGAAAATTGTAGATGAAATCGAATGAAAACCCTGCCTCATATAAGGGTTATGCTGGAAACTGAATAAAGGGCGATAACTCACTAAACAAATATGTACATAGAAAGCCTTGAATTTCACATCCTATATGAGCCGCTCACTTAGGGGAAATACTATGTCTCAAGAATAACTTGACCAATTTCCAACAAATTTGGTGTATACCATAGCTTACACATTCTTATAGTATATTGTGAACGCCAACTCCCTAAAATACGGCTGTATAAGCTCCGATTAATTCAAATTTCTAATTTTATTTGGCGTCATTAACGTTTCGTAATCGGTTAATAATATATCCGATTGGCCACAAATTCTCCCTTTCCTTTTCGCTTTTTCTAAATATTCGCATAACTGTAAAGCTTCAAACATATGTTCTATAATCTGATTCGCATAATTAGTAAAAATTTTGAAGTAAGCACTTGACGACCCAAAATTAACTGAACAGATTGTCAGGAAAAAACACAAAAGTAATTTTCTAATATCGTGAAAGAAATTCCATGTGATCAGTTCGTATATGCAGCTAGTTCTAGTTCCTACAACTCGGGCAACCTAAATACTTGTAAGATAATTATTGAATTCCAATGAAAATTAGCAAAATAAAAAATAATAAATAAAATCACCAACTCAGTCAGTATGGTAATCAACCTACCTTAAGGGCGTGGTTGTCAACCGATTTCGTATATTTTCACACTGGGACTAAATTCGGTAAGTAACATTATTCTAACATTCCTATGTTATGGCAATGTTACTTACCAAATTAAGTTGAAATTGGTAGAGCAAGTGCGAAGATACATACATATATAATTTCAATTAAGGATGGGTGGTGCCACGCCTATCGTCCGAAATGGACACCAACTCCTATAAAGAACTCTTTTACCATCCCGGAAGTAAAATTTAATTTAGTTATTGATTTATCGCACTTTTAGTAGTTTTTAACAAAGCCGTTATATGGGGAGTGGGCGGGGTTATCGTCCGATTTTACCTATTTTCACGCTGTCATAAGAGGAGTCGAAAGGATTTGTCCTGTCTAAAATTGGGTGGTACAGCTTGAATATTTGGGAGATGTATTCATTAAACCTATTAAACCACCGGTGCCCCGTGTCAATGCGATTCGTTGAGCCAAATTACAGTTTACACATCGCATTACCATAAACTAAAAAGTGAAAAATAAATATAGTTTAAACAAGTAAGGACCGATACCGTTAAGTAAGCAAACTGATACTTTTTTAATTAAACAATTCGTTAAATTACAGGAAACCTACTTAATTAGACAACCTTATCAATTAAACAAGTAGGTAAGGGCTAAGTTCGGATGTAACCCAACATTTTATACTTTTGCAAAGTCAAATGGTATACTTGTTTGAGATTTCTTTATATAGTATTTTGCTTGATTTGCATAGTGGAAAGTAAAAGAATCAGATGGAATTTAAAATGCTGTAATATAGGAAATAGGCTTGGATGTAATGCGATTTCGCCCATTTTCGCCCTATAACACAGAAATATGAGAAGAATGAAAGAATGTAAGAAAGATTGTACCGAGTTTGGTTGAAATCGGTTAAGCATATCCCAATATTGATCGCGGTTCCTACAAAATCATCTCATACCTTCCCAGAGATGAAATTTAATATCTCTGGCGTGTTTAGTCTTTAATTTATCGCGCTGTTAGTAGTTTTTAACAGTATCGTTATATGGAGTTGGCGGAGTTGCCACCCGTTTCACCTATTTTCACACTGTCGATAGAGATGCTAAAAACATATGTTCTCAGTGAATTTTGTTATTATAGCTTTAGCCGGTTTAGAGATATGCACATTAAACCTATTAGGGGGCGGGACCACGCCCACTTTAAAAAAATTTAACTTCAGGTGCCACTCCCTAATGTGATTCTGTATACCAAATAACAGTTTTGTGTCTTATTGTGGAGCTTAGTTATGAAAATTCATTTGTTTTTGATTAATAGTGTTTTATGGGCGTGGCAGTGATCCGATTACGCCCATCTTACCTCGTCTTACGGTACCAAGAAACATGTGTACCAAGTTTCATAAATATACCTAAATTTTTGCTCAAGTTACAGATTGCACAGACGGACGGACGGACCGACAGACAGTCACCCGGATTTCAACTCGTCTCTTCATTCTTCTTATATATATGAGCCAAGTTTTGTTCAGCGATGAGGCCCATTTCTGGCTCAATGGGTATGTAAATTAGTAAAATTGCCGCATTTGGGACGAGGAGCAACCTGAATAGATTCAAAAGCTGGCATTTCATCCTGAAAAAACAACGGTTTGGTATGGTTTGTGGACCGGTAGAATCATCGGTCCATATTTCGTCAGACTATTTGATGCCTAAAAGTGAAGCTTGTGATTTTGGCGACATTTGGTTTCAACCAGATGGCGCCACTTCCCACACATCGCATCAATCAATGGATTTATTTAGAGAACACTTCGGTGAGTCTAAAGTCTATACGGACAATTCCAGGCCTTGGAGCAAAACATCATACATATCATTCGCCAGTTACCAGTCGAAATGCTCGAATGAGTCATCGAAAATTGGACTCAACGTATGGACTATCTGAGACGTAGCCGCGGCCAACATTTAAAAGAGATAATCTTCAAAAAATAAATGCCAAAGAATTTTTTTCGAATGATTATAAACATTCCCCATTAAATTTGAATTTTCTGTGCCTTTTTCTTTAAAAAAGAAGGAAACCTCGAAATGGATCAGCAGTAAGAGATCATCGAAAGCATAAAGAAAAAACAATGGTAATTTATTATATGAAGATTGCTATCTTTATCAAAGAAAACGTTAACTCACCGTATAGATTTAAAGTATAGTATTCAAAGTTCCCAACAAAATTATTGATTATCAAATATCGCATTAGCAGTTGTACACCACCGTCCATGATAAATACTGGCTCCCTGTCTTTGACATTAATTTCAGCTTTGAATTTTTGAGAATCTGTACTAATTTTCGTTTCTCGAATAAGTAACAACGTGTTTTCTTTGATTCGGGCTTCCATATTTTTCTCCTATTGGGAATACAAACGTTTTAGTGAACCTTTTGTGACATTTGGACTTTGGTAAATCATCTCAATTTTATATGTAAGTTATAAATCTCCTAGAGAAGGTTCATCACCAGCTTTTGCCGAAAAATTTACCGAGCGTAAGTTGTCATTCAAGGCTTAGGGAAATATGCGATAGTGAACCTTCTCCTTGTAATAAATGTTGCGTACAATGACACTAGTTTACAGTCAACGACTGTGATGTTAGAGTCTGTTTCCTGCTAATTTTGGGTTGCTAAAACCGAATATGACAGTAAAAACTTCCAAACACGTAGGATTATTTGTGTTGTGGTCAAGGGGTGCACTAAAATGAAAACAAAAGCTGTTCGTGATGGAAAATTTTTGAGTTCAAATTCGTAATCGGAACACCTCGAATACCCCCCACAGACCTCTTATCACATCGGTCGCGAAGTTTACCTTCAGCTTTGTTCAGTAGTGTAATCAAAGGGAAAAGCGAAACAAATTATGCACATACAATTCTGGCTTTGTCTATGTAATCGAATTCACTTCGTTTTTCCACGATTAGCAACAATTTGTCATTATATTTTCCTCGCAAGCAATGCCCACACATGCTCCTGCTTCTGCCCTTCGCCATTTGACTCCGACTGAATACAACATAACCATCATAGCTTTCCTCTATGCTAAGTTTCATGTATCCAACTTCATTGAGTTCACTTTCTAAAAAGATTTTGTTTTCCTCATTTAGTTTGCAAGGTCCTGCTTTAACCTGTGATATATAGAGTTTTTCTTCGAAGAGTAAAGACTGCTTTTCATTATGCATTTCTTTAGCGGCAACGCCCCATTGACATTCTTTGAACTGCTCTTCAGTTGATTCGATTTTTGAGAGCAACGCAGAAATGATGCTGTCTACACTTATTTCATCTTCCGGTCGCATAACGAATTTTTTCTGGCAAGGTTTGTACTCCCATGCATCCTCTGGACGCGGTTCAGTAATATCGTCTAGTCTGCAGGGTTCAAATAAGCCGAAATCTTCAATAATAGAAGAAAAGTTTTAGATATATTCGCCAACACTAAAAGTAAAATCTGACCCATTATAAAGTAGCTTATAAAGTTATATAATTAATATAATTATATATTATAAATGTGTATGTAAATACGATTTAATTGCCTAAATGAATCTATGTTGAAAATATGTACGTTTGATAATTGTTATGAAATAAATCTTCATGATAATGTTAAGTCAAAACTTTTTGAAAACAATCAAAAGGGCTTGGCACCGCCTACTTTTAGATAATATATCCTACTTCAAAAGGTATTGGACCAATTTGAATTAAAAGGGGTACATAACATTAACTTGACATTGTTGTATCACCTATATCTTCTGAAGTTATGATATATTTTGGTGAAATTAACTTGCATCTTTCTCTTAAAATTGTGTGATCTTGTGCTAAAAATGGATAAAAATATATAATATATCTACTTTAATTTTAGAAATTTCGGTTGACTTTATACAGTAATATCGTTCAATATGTATGTATGATATTTAAATAAATTAAGTGAAGAGATTATCTATAATGTAGTTTGGTGCTAAGTATGAGGGAATTCCTTGTATGAAGCCTTGCCTTCGTATACTAAACATTATGTTTATTATGCTTTTGTAAGAGGTTGCATAGGTTATAATAGTTTTGTTCAAGATGCAGATATAGAGTTACATATGTATATCAAAATGTTCAGGATGACAAGGCAAATTGTATTCCGGTTGTCTGTATCTCCATTAAGCGATAACTAGAGTAAAAATTGCTTAATGCAACTGGGTACACAGGTTCACGTTTAGTTGATGTACCATGTCTTAGAAACTAATATTGGTTAATGTGAAAGATCACCTTCTATCCCCCAAATACCTAACATAATGATTTTCAAACATACTGTTGACTATATCGTTTGGAGCCGGAAATGGGTATACCACAGTAAATGGGGTATGAATAGCACGACCACAACCAACCGTCCATCACAAAATGACATTGTGTTATGTCGTTTACTGTGATCGAACGACTAGATCTACGATCTCGTATGACGCTCATTTGGACATACGAATTTGAGCACGTGCCGTTGAATGTATAAAACTTAATGCAGTGGTCGTTCAATACAATGAATATAATGTTATACAATTAATTCGCAAAATCGAAATATTCTTTAAATCGAATTTATTTTCCTATAATACAATAAAACCATCTTTTCAAATAAATAATCAAATACATTGAGTTTAATATATATTATATATATATATATTAGGGTGGAGCGAAAAATTTAATTTTTTTTTTGGCTTAGCCTGGGGGAAAAATCTGTAAATTATAAAAAACGAAAATTTTTGATCAAAAAAACAATTTTTTTTTTAAACCTAGTTTTAATGTAAAATTATCATCAAAATTTCACTTATGAATATCCACGATTTCAAATGAACACTAGGAAATTAGTTTGAAAAACAAAACTGAATGCTGTTAACTAAGTCTTACATTTGGAAAAACTGGTTCTGTCAGAATCAATGTTGATTCAAGGGTGTTTTCACAGTCGCGTCTAATAAGTCCTGCTATTAGTATATCGTCTTTGTCATTGCATTCTACAAAACCATTTTTTAATATGTTTCTCCATCATCTTATATTAAAATTCTTCGACAGTTTTTCCCAAGAAAACGTCAATAAAGATACAGCATCGAAATATTAATACGTTTTAATAATTCTGAGATGTTATCGGTTCCAGTAATAAAAACAATATAATATTATTCAAAAGGCAATTTCTCTAACTAAGTTTCACAAGCCTAATATCGTTTCGATCTATCGGTTGAATCCATGGCATTACATTAGGTGGAATAAAATTTGTCAAAATCAATCCGTCATCGGTAGCCTTAACCAATTCGTTTTCAGGTAGGTGACTTGGAGCATTATTCAAGATAAGCAGCCCTATCTTTGGAAGGTTCTGTTCATCCAAAAAATCAATTACCTTTAAAAAACGAATTCATAAAACTAAATATTTCGTTCCAGAAGCATTGGTTCAGGTTGGCCAAAATTTACACGTTGGTTTAAAAATGTGATAAAGAAGGAAGTATATGAAATATTACCACGAAAAATAAGTTTTCCTTCCATACGGAATATATATGTTGTAAGAGTAGCAACATTTATCATGCAAAAGTTTTAATGGGATGCATCTCTTATGCACACATAGATAATGAAAAATTGCCGCCATTGAATCTGCCATTTGAAGAGCGTTCGGTAAGTTGTGAATTTTGCTTATTTGTTGATTTTCATAAATGTTCCTTAAATTAAACTATTTTCAAAACAGAAAACGAAGACTAATCTGGAAGCACAATACAATATTAAGCAACAAGAACTTATTGTATAGGAAAAGTTTATAGTGAGGAACCAATTGGAAAGTATGGTTATGTTAAAATTTTTAAAATATAATATCTTGCACTAATATATTATGAATCGCTTTAGGCTTTTTGGATTGCAAGATGATTTAATTGCAGTTCATTTTATCTAAATCGTGCAAAAGTTCCGGTAAAACAAGTACATATATACAGGGTGGTTACGAATCGTGCTACAAAAACAAACCGTAATAATTTTTTTTCTGTGTGAGTAATCGACTTACTTTTTTTTATTTGACATGTTAATATTCAAATTTTTTAAAAGTGGTTGCTTGGGATACCGAAAAGAGGTTTTGGATAGTGTAGCGGTATCATGATTTGCAGTTCGCCATTTCCGTCCAAAAGGAATTTAGACGGGATGTAGGGGCACTGCCTTAAGTAGATGGACCATTATGATATTGATAAACATGTTTGCCGAATCTGGTAATACCGCAAGAAGATCGTACCATCGAGATTCGTTTCAAGAGTTTCGACTCGCAACTTATCGGCGCAACTTGGAGTTAGTAGACTGTCATTGCAACGGATAATTCATGATGACTTAAACCTGTTTTCATACAAAGTTCAAATAACAAGCCGATTAAACCCTCTAGATTTCCCTATTCGCCTGGAATTTTTTTAAAAAGTTATTGAAATGGCCGAAGAAGAATTTCACCAAGAACGAGTCACTGTATGGTTCTTTGAAGAAAACGGTGTAACAGTAACTAACAATGTGCACCGTTATTTAAAGATTTTGAATGAGTTTTTTTACCCAGAACTGCACCGAAGACGTATTCCGTTCAATAGCGTTTTGTTCCAGCAAGATGAAGCAACTGCACACATAGCCTGACCGGTTATTGCATATGTACTTGCATCAAGAAATTTTGAAAACAAATTAATATCAAGAAACTCCACTTATGTCAAGCAAGAGGTGTATAAAACAAAACCCTGAAATCTGACTTAATTGAAGCGGTCCATTAAATCGATAATTGAGGCAATCCCGACTTCAACCCTTCAGGTCGCAATAAATAATTTTCTAATTAGGTGTCGCATATGCATGGCTGAGCATAAAGGTCATTTACGGTCCATAATTTTTAAATATAACTAATTATACAAAATAAAATAAAATTTGCTATACAATAAAAAAATTTTGAACCTCGAAGGTTTTTCCCGATAATGTGATCAAAGAGTTGAGCGAGAGCGGAAATGCGTTCTCCCAACTGGAAATCGAGTGGGATAAATTCTGTGGTGATCGTGAGGCGTTGTGTGATATTGCCAAATGGTGATTGAAAGCTAGGTTGCCTTATTTTGTGCTTCAAGGTTGAAAAGACAAGAAAGGAAATTAATGCTGTCGTGGAGTTCTACAGCTTGTACGTAAACTCTCGTCCTCTCACCTCGTGTGAAGTATGTAAATTATATATTCTACATGTTATACATTAGTATGACTAATTTAATCATAACTGGCCAATATTGTATATTTATGTGTTTAATATGTATATACATATACTTTATTTATATGAATTTTTATTAAACATTGTTTCTTTTGGTTTATTTTAGCACAAAATTGAAAGTAGGAGATTTCTTCATATTAACCTAAATTCTTTTGTTTGTTTAGAGAAGGTCATCAGCTGAGAATTTAACATTTGTTTGGCTACCTTAACATAACCTATGTTAATGGTTACCAAAACAATGTTAAGGTAACCAAATAAAATGTTACGGGAAGTACACTATGTTAAAAATTCAGTACACTTTTTTACGTTTCTTAACGTGTAGCCAAGGTAACCACCGTAGATAATATATCTACATATGTTAAGTACCATGTTAAATGTTGTATTTTTATATGAATTGTATACAAACTTGCTTGCTTTTATTTTCAAAATATAATGTAGATACTTTACTTTAACAAATACAAAAGAAAATTATTTTTAATTCTTTTTAGATATTTTCAAATTTCGATGGAAAGCTCACAAGCTGGACTTCAATATCACCATTTTAGTTTTTAAATTATAAAATTTATGTTACCTATTAGTATTAATTACAAAATTAATTAACCAAATTATTATTTAATTAGGGTACATGTAAACCTAAATAATTAATGAAAGTGTGTAAAAATAGAACCATAATGTATAAACATATCAATTATAAAAAAAAATTAAATAAATGGAAATTAAATGAGCATTTCAATTGTTTTTTTTATGAGTTAATCGATGCGTTAGGCTGTAGTAACCAATTAAAAAACAAACAAATAACCCATGAAACTGACGAGGTAACCGATCAACCAGTTTTCTGTAACGAATGGATGATCAAACAAATAGGCTGTGAACCAATTTAAACAAATAAATAGCCAATGAAAAGGACGCTGTTGACCAAAGAGTAACATCTATTTTTCCAAAACAGTTGGAAAAGTAGAGCAGTAAAATATATGAAGTATTAACGCGAAAGCAATAAGAGAAAGCGAGTCAGATAATCACAGCGACATGTAGTTAAAGAAGGGAAATAGTTACTGTTTCCCGAGGCCGGAACAAAAGTAACCTATCAGATAACTAATGCATCAGATAACTAATGCATTAGTGCATTAACGTTGCGTGTTAACGTTTTTGCATATAATTTGACATTTTTCTATTTTGCCACAAGTTGGCGCAGTCTTGTTTTTATCATTCATCGTTACCAACTTAACTTAATAACTGTTTTTCATAAAAAGCTAGACTCAACCGAATTCGAAGATGTGGTACTGCTTTAGGAGGAGGAATTTGTTCTGATTCTGAAAATTCATTTTTTTCAATGTCATCATACTGAATTAATTTTAAAATTCTGGATTCAAGCTAAGATGTATGTAGAAAGATTCAGTCCCTTAGACAATTTGGCAAATTTTACGAGTAGTCTCTTGTCGTTACTATG